TTTTTAAAGAGCTGGCCAAGGAGCTTGCTGGACCGTTAATGTTGCTTTTCAATAAGTCATGGTGCAATGGGGAAGTTCCAAAATACTGGAGAAAAGCCAATGCTGTGTCAATGTTTTACAAGGGTAAATGGGATGACTCGGGTAATTATAGGCCTTTCAGCCTGACATCAATCCCAGGCAAGATAATGGAGCAGCTAATACAGGACTTGATTAATAAAGAACTAAAGGAGAATAATGTAATTAATGCAGAGCATCATGGATTTATGAAAAACAGATCTTGTCAAATTAACTTGATTTTTTTGTGATGAGATTACAAGTTTGGTTGATAAAGATAACAGTATTGGCATAATATACTTAGACTTTTGTAAGGCATTTGACTTGATACAACATGACATTTTGATTAAAAAGACTAGAGCAATATAAAATTAATATGGCCCACTTTAAAGGACTAGAAACTGATTAACCGATAGGCCTCAAAACATAATATGCAGCGTTGTTGTAACCATGTTGGTCCCAGGTCTCAAAATGTAATTGTGTTGTTATTGAGTGGGCATGTTTCCAGTGGAGTCCTGCAAGCATTGGTTCTTGGTCCCATGCTACTTAACGTTTTTATCAATGCCCTGGAAGGAAACCTAAAATCATCTCTGATAAAGTTTCCAGAGGATACAAAAATTGGGGAGTGGTAAATAATGAAGAGGAGGACCAGTCACACATCACTGTGAATCAGGATTACTTGGGAAAGTGAGTGAAAGCAAACAATATGTGTTTTAATATAGCTAAATGTAAATGTACATATCTGGGAACAAAGAATGTAGCCATGCTTACAGGATGGAGGGGCTTTATCCTGGGAAGCAGTGACTCTGAAAAAAAATTTGGGGGTCATGGTAGATAATCAGCTGAACGTGAGCTCCCAATGTGATGCTGTGGCCAAACAGGCTAATGCAATCCTGGGATGCATAAATGGGAATCTTGAATAGGAGTAAAGAAGTTATTTTACCTCTGTATTTGGCACTGGTGTGACTGCTGCTGGGATCCTGTGTCCTGTTCTGGTGGGCACAATTCAAGAAGGGTGTTGATAAATTGGAGAGGGGTCAGAGAAGAGCCATGAGAACAATTAAAGAATTAGGAAACATGCTTTATTATAATGACAGACTCAAAAAGCTCAATCTATTTAGTTTGAGAAGGTTAAGGGGTGATTATAGTCTAGAAGTATCTATGTGGGGAACATATATTTAATAATGGGCTCTTCAGTGCAGTAGAGAAAGATCTAACACGATCCAATGGCTGGAAGCTGAAGCTGGACAAATTCAGACAGGAAATAGGTGAGAATAATTCACCATTGGAACAATTTACCAAGGGCCACGGTGGATTCTCCATCACTGACCATCTTAAAATCAAGATTTAGATATTTCTCTAAAATACCTGCTCTCGGGATTGCTTTGGGGCAGGTCTCTGGCCTGTGCTGTACAGGAGGTCAGACTAGGTGATCACAATGGTCCCTTCTGGCCTGGGAAGCTATGAATCTATTTGAATTTGTTTAGTTATGACCGTCCCCAACCTTCTCCATATATACCTTAGATTCAGAATAAAATGCAGCATTAAAGCCACTCTGTGATGCCTTGAACTCTAATGTTGAGTGGATGTTTCCTGCAGCCCATAGAGCTGGGTGTGGTATCCCAAAATCATTCAGACTGGAATTCATTGGGCTAGAGTCTACCACTGTTACTCCTGGTGAATTGTACCTTATGGTGGGAGGAGTCTCACTGAAATCCACCGGCTGCTCGGAAATTCAGATGCTGCAGAGTGAGGGAGAGTGACCATAACTTTTATCATTATTAGGGCAGTCCTTACTGGACTATTGGATAGAATTTCTAGAGCTGACAGGAAGTGGTTTTCCCCCAAAAAATTGTTTTGACACTTTGTTTTGTTTTGTTTTGTTTTTTCCAAATTGTGGGCTTTTCCTGTCAAAATACTGAAAAATCCGCAAACCAAAAATGTTTTTCAGAAACTGAGAAGGGCAAAATTTCCGTCAAAAATGTTTGGGGAGTTTGGCCAAAAATCTTCAGTTTTCAGTGGCTGTGAACTGCAAAATTTTCTGTTGTTGACTTTTTTGAGGGAAAAACTATAAATTGAAAACGGACATTTCCTGCAGCAGTATCCATTTTGCCAAAATCCATGTTCCACTGGAACATGTTTTAATGGACAAATTTTGATCAGCACTAATCTCTTCCCACTTTTACAAGGCCTAGCATTGTTGGTAAGTTACATCCTAATTCCTGGTCATCAGCACCTAACTACAATAATTTTAAAACACACTAAAATGTGCACGTTATCTTGGAACCTGCAAGTCAAGCTGGAGACATCACACATTTTGTTGCAACATGAAAAGAAAACACAAAGTTGATGGGTATTTTTAAATTTTAATTGTTTAAGTACTCCATTCTCTTTTAAACATTAAAAGGACAAATCTGAGTCATGAAAAATGTCATAACAGCTTCACATCCAGCTGTAGCTTTGGGCAGTGTCTAAACAGCATCCTACTTCGCATGACCAGGATACTTTCTGCTGAGTAAGATCAAACTGTTTGTATTCTCTGAGAGTTGGAACTCTGAAGTGGCTAGATCTGCGTAAGCTGAATAAACTTAGAATGCTCCCCCCCTTAGCCACGGGCTATCCTCTTGAGATGAACCATGTGTTCCGATGACTGAAAATAATAGGGATCCCATTTATATCCAGAGGAAAAACATTGCGTTATACTATTTCAGTGACTGCAAGGTAGAGCCAGTTACAGGGTAGGCAGAAAACTTTTAATAGAGTACTAAGCTAGGTGTCTTCTGGCACATTGCCCAGGGAGTTCTGGTTAGCATCAGTAAGTCTGCTGTATCCTAACTTGACTTGTTTCACAACATTTTACAAGGTCGTGGGGTGTGTCAGCAGCAGTCTGGGTTCTCACGGCCGGGATCAGTCGGGGCCTGGAAATGGACTCTTGGGCCTGGTGTGTGAAAACGCAGGAGGAAGGGGAACTTTTCTGCTGTGTGTGGTCAGAGGAAAGGGCCACTTTGGGACTCTGTATAGGAGTGCCAAGTGGGCGGGAGGTGGCTAGAAGCCCCGTTAGCCCTGGCCCTGCTGATCAGCCCCAGCACGGTAGTGGAGCACCCTTATAGTCCCCTTGCTCTCCTGTGCTAGCCAGGTGCTCGGGGGAGACTTTGCTGCGCCCTTGCACATGGAGAAACTACTAATGAGCACAGCTAAGGGAGTTTGCTTTGGAGCAGCTAAACATGTTCCCTTGCTGCAGTGGCGAAGAACGGCACTTCCTGAAAGGGGCTGCCAAATCCGAACAAGCTGGGCCGTTCAGACCTTGTGTTCAGACAGCCCCTCGGGGCAGCAGTTTCTCTGGATTAGAACCTGCAGCCGAGCGCTTGCTTTTGTTCCCTGGGTGTGCATTTGGCTGTGCTCTGCACAGGTGCAGCTCTGCCTGGAGTCCATGAATAGGAGGCCAGGGAATGAAGACAGACACCTGACTGTGAGCCCAGGTCTAGCCCATAGCCTTGGTCATCCAGGCTTTGGGAGATGCCCATTTGCTGCGATTCATCCCAACAGAGAGATCTACCAGTGACGCAGGCTCTGAAACGCCAGGGACCCTCAAATCTTCAACCTGGTGCAGCCACTGACCCGCTGTTGTTGCTCCTGGCGTGCTCCAGTAGCAGCTGGGGGCCCCGAGTGGGACCAGGGCTGCATGGCGCCAGGCTCTGTACAAACAGAGGCCCTGAGTGTTATCCGCCTGTGTGGACCAGCAGGCTGTGTGCAAGGAGCCTCCCTGCCCTGGAGCAGTCCCTTTACTTGCTCATCCGCGCAGGGCTTTGTGTGAGTTGCGCCGTCCCTGTGCAGAAGAGCTGACAAGCAGAGCCAACAACGAATGTGTGAGCAAGCCGGGGGAGGCACGCTGCTTGCCAGTACCCTTTGATGGAGGAGAGACTCGACCCCAGTTCAAGGATTCTCCGTTTGCCAGCCAGTCCCACTTGGGAAGAGAACTGTACAGGCCACTGCCTTGTTTCAGGGCAGCTGAATTATCTCAAGCTGGCGGTCCTGTCCGAGTACCTCTTCGGCTGGCTGAGAAAAAACTTCCTCAGCTTCCATTTCCTGGGCCTCAGATGCAGCTGTAACCCTGGCTTTTCTCTGTTCGGGGCCATGCCTCTTCCTACGCTGGCCATGGGGCAGGCAGCCCACCCCCTGTGGAAAGGGACTGCTGTCTGGTAGGTGCTCCCCAGCCCTCCAGGAATGGGGCAGGCTGTGTCCATGGGGATCCTCTCCCCATTTCCCCGGATTCCAGCTGGCTTGACGCCCCTCTATGCACACTGCTGACCTAGGCTCTGTCTCCACAACTACAGAGTGTGGATTCATCCAGGCAGCCAGATCAAACCCTTGTTCAAAAAGATTTCTTGACCTATATTTATTCAACTTCCGGTCTGTCTCCCCCTGCTGGGAGGGAGATTAACCAACCATTGGGAGTTGGAAACAAAGGTCCGTTGCTAGAATTCAGTGCCAGCTTCCCCAGAGCCAATTATTAAATCAAGGCCAAACCAAAATCAGCATGATACTTTGTGAAACTCGATCTATTTTCTCCCTTTACTGTAGTGAATTATGCCAAATTCCACTCTGCTCTCATCTGTGGTCTGTTTATGTAGCTCTGTTTGTTTTGGTTTTTTGCTTGTTTTGCTTACTGTACGTTCAATATATCCTGCCATGGTGCTGGTCATAGCGTCTCTTATTAACCCCAGTGGAGGGTGGATGACAGGCAATGTAAACAGTACGCCGCACTGGCTATGTCCTGTACAGCCGTGGGAGTGGCAGTGTGGAAAATGCCAGTGTTGTAAGGGTTAAGGAATGAGGCACTGGCCATGAGAACGTGCTCAGACTGCAAATGGGCATGAAGCATTTGAAAACTGCCCTTCTTAATGACCTCAAACCTTTGTGTAAATATTTGGCCTGTTTAAAAAAAGGGAAGGAGTCGAATGTGTAAAGTCTGAGCTCTAGAGGAGGGAAATATCCATTCTTGGTGCCCATTTCACTGATTGCAGCGTCCCATAAATCTACCAAGGAGACGGCCAAGTCGAGGCTATTAATGGAATCAGCAGAAGTCCGGAGGGAAATGCAGCCCAGAACCAGCCCAAGAAACTGTCACGAAGGGAGGGAGATTGACATGGAGTGGATCAGGGACCTCTCATTGCTTTGAAAGGAACTTAGAGGACCGCTGGGGGCAGGGAGCTGTAATCCTGGGGACTTTCCCTGGGCTTGCTGGGGAGTTTCAGATTGACCCTGACGGAGAGCAGAACATCACCGCTTGTTGTTCTACAGAGTGCTGGGTGGGGCTGATGCTGCCACAGAGTGAACCAAGTTAGCTAAGGCACGACCATCAAGTCAATAACCAGAAGAAAAGATTTACTGTATCAGATCAGGCCTTTGTCCTTCTGGACTCCCAGTGCTGTGTGCCCCCCGAGAGGACCATGGGAAAAGAAACCTAATCTCTTCAGACACTATTGCAAGCTCTTCGGGGCAGGGGCTGTTTATCACATGTTTGTACAGCACCCTACACAATGGGGCTGGATCTGGTTTGAAGCTACCGCCCTTTTAATGGTAAATACTAATAATGCTGTAATTGTGGACGTGATGGGGGAAGTGGAAGAGGGTGAGATGTTCCTTTTTGATTGAGAAGGAGATTTTGTTATCCTCCTTGTTGTCAGAGCTTGCACAGCTAGACCTGTCATTAGTGGGCATGAAGTAATGTGGTCCTTCTCTAATCCTGTCTGCAGCGTGTGTCCAGTCATCGCCAGCAGCAATGAATTCCACAGGGTTATTCTACTCCGGGTAAAGTGTTTCCTTTATACTGGCCTGATTTTTACTGCTCTTTAATTTCATCAAGTTGCATGTTTTTCATATTTAGGGACAGGACAAAAAGGGAATGAACTGATCAATTGTCATTCTACCCTTTATTGTTTGGAGTCCCTTCATCGTGTCTTTCTCCAGTTCTCCTTTTTATGTTAAATAATCCTAGCTTTTTTCATCTCTCCTCATATACGTAATTCCCAACACACTTCTGATGATCCTTGTTGCCCTTCACTAGGCTATTTCAGTGTCAGCAACAGCTTTCTTAACCTCAGATAATCAAATCTGGACCCAGATAAGTGAGAAGCCATGTTCAATGTACAATATGTCACTATCCTAGTTTATGTATTATATTTTACCTTTTTTCCCCTAATGCACTTGAGCATTGTGTTTGTGTTAGTAACTACTGAAATCTGTCCACAAGGACTCAAGTCTTTTTCCCAAAAAGCTCTCAATTTGCAGGATCCATCTGGAATAGGAAATCTTAGACTCTAGTATTTCAGCCAATATATTTCACCTTCTGTTTATCCAAGTTAAATGTCACCTGCTACTGTCCGTTTCCCTGGTGTCTCCAAATCCACTCATGATGGACAGCCAAAAATGGAGGCACTCCAAATTAGAAGTCATTTTAGAAGGTCTTTCTTTGTATTTGTTTTATTGGGAAGCACTGGGTCTATTTTTGCAGCTAGGCACAATATAAAGCAAATGCTTTAATGCAAGTTACGGATAATCATTAACAGTTATTACTACTCATCTCTGGTTGGCACTACTTAGACCTGGCCTGGAGACCCACTTGCAGGTCTGCAGTAGAGTCCAGAGATGGAGAAGTTCACCAAACCATGGAAGAAGTTGCAAAGCAAAAGTTGTGCAGAAAGATTGTGTGCTAGATGCTCCCTCAGCCTGTGGCTTTCTGACAGGCTGGTGCAATCAGTCAGTCTTCTCCCCCAGGGAAGACCTCAGTGTGGGGAGTTTCCTGGATGATGCAGATTTGAGAGTGTTGGCTTTATGACACACCCTTGCCCCATGACAGCCCTAAGCAAGGGAGAGAACAGGTGGGTGAAGTCATATCTTTTCTTGCACCAATGTCTCGCCAACAGAAGTCGGTCCAATAAAAGGTATGACCTCACCCACCTTTTCTCTCTAATACTCTGGGACCATGACGGCTACAATGACTTAGCATTGGATGCATTTTTGGGGTGTGGCCAAGGGGGAAGGTGGCATGGAGATAGCCCTGCTGTGCTCTGGGTATTAGGGCCATTGGCAGTGGAACAAAAGGCTGCTCTAGCTTATCCAGTGGCTAGCAGCCCTGTCCCCACTCTCCAGGCCTGCAGTGAGCAATGAAAATGAGAACTGGGCCCTCAGAGCTCAACATATTGAGTGCAGAAAAAGGAACACAGCAAGGAGACACCGTAACTGCCAATCAGTACAGAAGGGGCTGTTACCGAGAGAACAGGGACCAGGTAGTCTTATTAGTCAACAAAAGCAGAATCAGAAGGAAAAAAGGACCTAAAATTTCAGCATCAAACCTTTAGGATTAGAGATATGGGGGAAATCCTCCTAGTCATTAGATGAGTGAGTTGATGGAGGAGGCTGTGAAGTTGACGGGCACCATCTATCAGGGATGGCGTCAGGATAAGGAAATCGATTGTGGCACGGGTGCTGGGTGATGGGAAAGGTGACCCAGCAGAGCTTCCTTTCAGCACTAAGGACTGCACGCCTGAAAGACTGTGTCTCCCTAACATGGTAGAACTCTGGCAAATGACCGCTCAGGAGCTTGGAGGCCAGAGTTCCCAAGACACCGAGTTACTTGCTGCCTTTTCCAAACAGTGCCTGTGTGAGTGGGCTCTCCGGCATTTTATCTCTCAAAAGTTTTCCTACAAAGAAATTTAGGACATGGCATTTCGTGTATTAATGAGAGTACTGGGGAGTGACTTAAAATTTGCTTGCATAGTTGGCTTGAAAACATACAATCACCTTAGCAAGTTAATGTAAAAAAAGGGGAATTAAAAATATCCCTGAATGAAAGTACAAGCTACACCATATTTGCTTTGATCCACAAATCCAGCTATAATGAAACTGTCATTTGCTATTGTTTTCTACTGTGCAGCTTGTTAAATTAGGGACATTTTTGATTTAATACAAAGGTGAATATCCCCAGCAGGGTGTAGTGGGAAATGAAAAACCGACTGACAATGTCAGATTTCCTAAGGGGGCTTGTCAATGCCAATTTTAGCTGATGCTCTCTGATGGCACATTTTTAATACTGCTGCTTCCTATTGTGCTGCCTTATTGTCCAGTGCCAAGTTCTGTGTGTGAATGCCAAAGCGAACGTTTGTGCATAATTGGGGGGAAATCAATGCACGCTGGAAGAGGAAAATCTTGGAACACGAACGCGCACACACACACACAGCTGATCCCAACCACATTGTGGTGGCAACACCAAATTGGGCTTCTTGGAGCCTTTTCTTTGCTCATTCTTAATGGCTGGGGAGAGGTAGGCCTGGCTATCGCTTGTAATTACATAGTAATGCAGGAGTTAAATGCTGGTGGGGAAGATGTTCGAACATCTTGAGTTTGTTTGCCACTAATCTTGCAATGCTGGGTTCTTTCTTAATCCTCAACAAATGTTGTCCCCTTGACGACATATGTGGTAAAAAGTTATGATTGTGTGTGGAAAGAGCATTTAGAAAGGGGCTTACTTTTTCCATAGCTAAACACATTGTTATCCTCCAAATTGTAATCTTATCATATTTAAGTTGTTCCACATAAGTAGACCTATGTATATTTTCAGTAGTTTCAGCTGAAACCTGTTAAGAACAGATGTGCATATGATTCCATGGCAATGATCCCTTACAATGTATTTTTCCATGAACAAACATATTATTTGCTCCTTAGGGGGAAAGAGAAGAAGAAAGGAATGGAGCCTTCATTAAGGGGAATATTAAATTGGGTGGCTGGGCTTGTTACAAGCAGTGTTTATAAATAATTTTCAAACCGCCCTTAAAGGACATGAAGCATTTTGAACACAAAAGGGCTCTCTGTAGTGGACCTAGATAAGGCAGGGACAGGATTTGGGATACTTGCTTCCGCCTCTAGAGTGGCGCGACATTCCGATTGGACGCTTCTGGATACGCCAGTCTAGAACTGTGGGGCCAGTTGTTCCAATCAGGTGATGAGCAGGCCGAAGCGTCAGTCGGATTGCACCAAGGCAGAAGGGCTCTTGGTCCCACCTCGGCTCTCCTGTTCTCCCCAGTTCTCGCTCACAATAGGTCACAGAGTTAGCCAGGATGGGAGCATTCCAAAGTGAACCACACTGAAAATAAACCCAAAGAGAGGGTGGAGAGAATCTGTCTCTAGCAGGAGGCTTCTTCAGCCCAGTGCTGGGCAGTTCTTGTCTCTCTGTCCCTCAGGACTCCAGACTTTGGAGTGAGGCCATCTCTGATGCCTCCCACTCCCTTCCCTTTGCTTAATTTGGACTCTCCCCTAATAGAGCAGCCCATAGCGCTGACAGACCAGCTCTGTGCTCAACCAAAACCCACAGGAGAGATGGGAGCCCAGATCTTCTAAGGTATTTAGGCAACTAACTCAGTGGTGTAGTGGGTTGGACTTAGGTGTAAAATTTTCAAAGGCTGCTAAGGCCCATTTTCACTTTTGAAAATAGGGTTAGGTCCTAGGGTCAAATTTACAAAGTTCTTTAGGCCCCTAAAAGATGCAGATAGGTGCCTAGTGGGAATTCCAAAAGCACCTGAGTGAGTTAGCTGCCCGGATCACCGCGGAGGTACTTGAGGCGACCACGTGCAGTGTCTCCTCGCAATCGTGGGGATGACACATCCTTGGCAGTCTCTCAGGATTCTCTGGCCATTGTGACAAGCCTGAGGTGAAGCCAGCCAGCTCTGTAGCTGCTTCCCTCTCCGTCTCGCGCTTGCTCATGTCTGTTTGGCAGTTGGAAATTGTCGTGGATTGACTACTTTAGTCTCATTAGTGTTGGGGCACGTCTACCCTTGGGGTTGGGGGCCTTGTTTTGAGGGTCTGCTCTCAACGGCTGATGCTCCGCGGGGTTGGTATGTTCCTGTCGTGAGGGGTTTGTACTGAAGCCAATCAGCTACAACAATCTGGTCAATTCTCCTTGTAGCTGCAATGGCCAAACATTTCTCTTCCACTGAAAATAACCAATGAAACCTTGCAGAAGGACCATTCTGGAGTCCCCCTCTGTCATAAATATAAAGGGAAGGGTAACCCCACCTTTCCTGTATACAGAACTATAAAATCCCTCCTGGCCAGAGGCAAAACCCTTGCATCTGTAAAGGGTTAAGAAGCTAAGATAACCTCACTGGCACCTGACTAAAATGACCAATGAGGAGACAAGATACTTTCAAAGCTGGAGTGGGGGGGAACAAAGGGTCTGTCTGTCTGTGTGATGCTTTTGCCGGGAACAGATCAGGAATGCAGCTCAGAACTCCTGTAAAAAGTTAGTAAGTAATCTAGCTAGAAATGCATTAGATTTCTTTTGTTTAATGGCTGGTAAAATAGCTGGGCTGAATGGAATCTACATCCCTGTTTTTGTGTCTTTTTGTAACTTAAGGTTTTGCCTAGAGGGATTCTCTATGTTTTGAGTCTGATTACCCTGTAAGGTATTTACCATCCTGATTTTACAGAGGTGATTCTTTTACTTTTTCTTTAATTAAAAGTCTTCTTTTAAGAACCTGATTGCTTTTTCATTGTTCTTAAGATCCAAGTGTTTGGGTCTGTGTTCACCTATGCAAATTGGAGAGGATTTTTATCAAGCCTTCCCCAGGAAAGGGGGTGTAGGGCTTGGGGGGATATTTCGGGGGGGGAAGACCTCTCCAAGTGGGCTCTTTCCCTGTTCTTTGTTTAATACGCTTGGTGGTGGCAGCATAGGGTTCAAGGACAAGGCAAAGTTTGTACCTTGAGGAAGTTTTTAACCTAAGCTGGTAAGAATAAGCTTAGGGGGTCTTTCATGCAGGTCCCCACCTCTGTACCTTAGAGTTCAGAGTGGGGAAGGAACCTTGACACCCTTGAAGGCTACTGGAACCAGGAAATCTCCAGAAGGCCCTGAGGAAAATTATTGGGAAAAGCCTTTCTCAAAAGAAGCTGGCAGTCCACACTCCTGAGGGCTTAGTGGGCTTTTATTATGCACTTTTCTCTCCAGCCTTCGCTAGCGTGGCCCTTGAACTCTCCTTGATGGCTTTGCCTCAGAGGTCACCTTGGTTCTCAGATGACCTGCAGTAAATGAAGCTGGAGCTGTCAGACGGATTGGGTTGTCTGCATATTTAATGAATTTAAAAACTTCATTTTTAAAATGTAATGGAGCTGCTGCGTGGTCCCTGGGAAGAAGCCGAATCCAGGGTGTTTGCTGGAGAACTGACGTCTGGAATGGCAAGCAGTACATGGGCCCTTGTGCTCAGCCTGCCTAAAGTACAGATCTCTCTGCCATGCCACCTATCACAAGTGTTCTTAGGGCGCCAGTCTCACTCCAATTTGCTTTTTTACTGTGCTGGTTCATTGGGAGGAACGCGGCACAGCAGGTTGCCTCATCTTAAAATGGGAATAATGGTGCTCGCCCTCCTTTGCAGAGTGTAGCCATCCAAGTGTAGAAGTAGAGTCGTATTAGTCACCGTGACATTGGAGTCACCTGACCGGGACTCGAGCCCTGAGTTCTATTCCTGACTCTGCTCTGCTGGGTGGACTTGGGAAAGTCTCTTCCTCTCTCTCTGCTTCCCTTCGCATCCTGTGTCTGTCTTGTCAATCTAGACTGTGAGCTCCTCAGGGGAGGGCTGATCTCTCCTTATGGGTTTGTATCTGGTCTCAGGTGAGACCTCTCAGCACTATTGAAGACTGATCGAACGTCTAGGTTCCACTGCACAGAGTTACAGCATCCAGCCCCTTTAAAAGTGAACACATGATTCAAAACCAGATTTTTCACTCCAGGCCTTTTCTTTTTCAGCTTGTCCAGATGAGAGACAGCCACATTGCGTTCTGTTGCATCATACAGTGCAAGCTGTGGGCTCACCAGCATAATGATTACTTTCCCACTGCCCAGACACCGCTGAGATTCAGAAGAGGTATGTGTCTAAAAATATCACAGTGTGATGAATGTACAAAGAGACCACCTTAGGTGTTTTCCTCTTTCAAAAACACAATTGAGCCAGATTCTCAGCTGCTGGAAGTCTGAGTACATCATATAACATGGGGAAAAAACGTTAATTTATCATATGGACACTCCTATATTCTGCAGGCATGATTTTAAATTTGGAAACTGCTCAGAAAAATAGGATTTGGGTTTTATTTTGGGTGTATTCCGCTGAGCAAAGCCATTTTCCTCGCCCAGATTTACGAGAGGCCCAGAACCAGCTTCTGTCCTTCACCCCTACATGTTTGCAGAGAAACCTGTCCAGTGCCTGCATGTGGAGGGAGAGTAGATCTAATGCTGTGTTTGATATAATGTAGGTATGATGCTGACGGATAGTGCTTGAGCTCATAAACATACCTGGGGCTGATCTTAGGAATTTGTCCCCCCAAAAAGCTTATTGACTTCAACTCAAATGGAATTTTGGTTGCATGAGCAATACAGATGGTTTAAGCTGGGATGTGAGCTAGATCAAACTAGGGGAGCATATTGAGTCAGTCCAAAACTATTCATGACCACTGGGTGTTTTCCTTACTCTTAAGGAGAGCACAAGGCTGTCGGAGTGGCTGCACTGGGTCTGTGTATGTACAACGCAATCTCCTGGGCAAAGCCCTTCTAACATAGGGCAGAGGGAACTTGAATTTGGTCTCCAAGTCAGTCTAGGCACTGGAATGTCATAGTCTGGAAGTAGCTAGTTTAAGCTGGGGCTCACTGGAAAAGGCTAGTAGAAAATTGGTTTCACTGTACTTTGGAAAAAGAAATAAAGCAAACATTTGCATACAAATCAGCTGTAAAATTAGTTGGGGGGGGGGGTGGGGGCTATAAAATGGATTGCAGTTATGAGATGAAACTCCTTTAATACCCCAAGGAGACAGGGATCCTCTATTGAGTTAGGCAAGGCATCAAAATCTATTTCTCCTTTTTAAACCCTTTTTGTTCCTGTGTGACCCTCCTATAACAAAGTACTTTCTATAGCAAAACATACTTGGGCAGCACATTTCCTAATAAATGCTGCAGTCACCAATTGGCTCATTCATTTCTGGGGTAGTCGATGCAGATCACTGCACAGTGACAAATGTTGCATCAAGCTGCTTGTGTCTAAATGTGTATTGCAATCAGAGGTAGGCACTTGGGTGCTTGAGAGGGTGAATCACTAAATGTTCTTCATAACATCCTTCCCTTCCCCACCCACCTGGTCGCCTTGCTCTCCACACAGACTTTAAAGTGGGGCTTCTTGAAGTGCATGTGATCGCCTCTTGAAAACTGATGTGCACTGACTGCTCGTTTACTTTTGAACTCGGAGGTGCCCGATGTTTTGATAAATTGGTGGTTTGTGTTTTACAATCTTATCCTGTGTGTGTGTGTGTGTTTTGATTCTCACAATAGAGAGGATGCCTGTGGCTTGATGCAAATGAGCATCAAAGTTCCTTTATCAGGACTGCTGCAGAGAAGAGCAAATTGACGAAGCTTGGTTGCAAAGAGAGGAATGGGGAGTTGGAGGAGGCCTGGAGCCTGGCCGGAGGCTTCAGACCCCATGCACTGAAATTTGACTTTCTGGTTTGTGGTGTTTGTGTTTTGTGATTTTTTTTTTCATTGTTTCTTTTAAAGCAAATGAGGGTTTTCCCCCTCCCCTGTAGAAATAAAAATTGTGTTGTTTTTTTTTTAAAGTGGTTTTCCTTGAATTGTATTAAAAAAAATATTGCTCCCCTCTGATGCCTGATATCGTCAATAACGAATCCTTATAAATTCTGGGTAGGTTTATAGAATTTTATACAAACCAGTTGCCAGCTGGTTGCTTAGGTGGGCGTTTTAGCCAAAGGCTGAGACACTCACTCCTGCCTAAAATGAATGGGACTTGGGCACCCAAAGCTCGTAAGCAGCTTTGAAAATCCCAATTCAAAGCACAACAAATTAAAACTATGTCAAAAGGCTCCCAAATGCCAGGAAATTCAGCATTAGTGTTAGTGGGGTGGAATGTCACATGTCTGCTCCTTCCTAAGTGTGACTTAATTTTCTTTCAATGTCTGTCCACGAATGAATACAAATCAATATTTTAATACAAACTCCTGTGTTGAAATGCTCCTGCAGAGGCTTGCCAAAGGGGAGGAGAGGCCAGATGTGGCTCTTCATTTGCCTTGGACGTGGCTCAGCCATGTCGCTAAAATGTTTACATTCCATGGGCCTGTGCACAACAGCCAGCGTGCCCCACTGCAGCAGCTGTGTGCCGTGCCCAGCTTCTGTGTGCACCTGGTGTTTGTGGGAGTGAGGTCACTGAGCAGAGACCATGACCGAGTGCAATCCAGCGAGTGTTATGGGCCAGATCCTCAGCTAGTGGAAATCAGGATCAATCCCACGCTCTTCAATGGAGCTGTGTGGGTTCCCACCAGCTGGGGATACACTCAGTAAATGGGCTGTAGCTACCTCCCCGCCTCCCCTCTGTTCTTAGTGTAAGAGCTGTTAACGTCTCCCATTGCTGCTGACTTTCTGCCTTGACACTCCTTGCGCTGAAGGCGCCCTGCCAGAAGCTGGGCTCCCTTTCAGAGGCTGGCAGGTATCCTGCTTTCTTGGCCGTGTTTCCAGAGCTGTCTAGCTAAGGGCAGTGCTCTGTCAGCATCCCTGGGAAGCTGCTGGGCTGTGTGACACGGTGGGCGCCATCCAGTTTATCCACCACTTCCCTGGGGATGGTTGAGGGCCTTGCTGGGCAGCCACCAGCCTCTCCACAGAATGCCGCTCGGAATGGGCTCTGCGGAGGGAGGGTGGTCGTGGGGCTGGGACGCTGGGCTAGGAACCCTGGTGACTTTGGTCCAGTTCTCTGCTCTGGGTGGGCCTGGGGATGTCACTTAGGGCTAGATCCACAAAGGGAAAGACTAATAAGGGCGAGTCTGCACTGCAGACGCCTTGCTGGCACAGCCTGCTCGTGCAGGGGCAGTGGAAGCTGGCATGGCTACACCACCTCCCTGGGTGACATCAGCTGTGCCAAGAGGGGCGCTTGCATGGTTGGGTCTACACAGCAGATCTGCTGGCGTAGTTGTGTTGGCTGGGGCATGGGGGAGGGGGGAGCGGGAGGGGAGTCATGCTCCTAAGCAGCACAATGGAAGCTTTGTAGTGTGGACTGATCGTAGGCTCGGTGCTTCAATGCCTAACTTCTTAGGCACCTGGTGCCCACTGGAATCTGCAGCCGCAGGCTGGGCCCAGGCTCCCTGGATGACGCACGGGGAGCGGGATCCACAGAAGCCAGCCTGCTGAGCAGGGAGCTGCCTGAGTGAGGCAGTGGGGGAAGCTGAGGAGTGGGATGGGGTCTAATCCCTGACCCTCAAAGATGGGGGAGGTACTGGCCTCTGCTTGGGATTCACAGCCATGAGCCCTCTCCTGGAGTCAGGTCCCTCAGCCTGGGAGCCCCAGGTTCAAATCCCACCTGATGCTAAACAGGGACTTGAACCCAGGTCTCCCGCAACCTGCAGGAGTGCTCTAGCCCTGGAGCTGTTGGATGAAAGGGCACCACCACCTCCTCTTGTGCAGGGCCCGACCCAGCAGGTGTGCTCTGAGACAGCCTCCTAAATTGGGCCCTGCACACAAGACAGGCAGGGAAAGCACTGAGTCTGAGCATCCCACCAGGGCTTAGGCATGAGCTGGGTGCTGGGCATCAGGATGGAGGCCACCAACAGACATTTAGGTGCCAAGGGGACTTTATCAGTGGAACTGTAAGCACGTAGGGCATTTGGGCACCTGCAGGGCCAGGTAGCAGCTGGGTGGGAGGTTAGGTGCATAAATCCCCTTGTGCATCTAGCCCTTTCTCTCTCTCTGCCTCAGTTACCCATCTGTAGGATGAGATAAGAGCAAGGTCTCTGAAGGTAAATACCCGGAGGAGTTGGGCAGTGCTCAGACACTGCCGTTGTTGGAGCCAGAGAAGTCAGTGGATGGTGGGCATGTGATGATTGCAGCTTCTTAGGCTGTGCTCTGGCTTTGTGCACGTAACGAGAACACCCTGGGAACTGCTCGGTCGGGGAAGGAGGCTTTATACAGACAGTGGAGCAGATGTGGTTGTAGACAGCATGGGGTGGCCCCCCTGGCCAGTAAGTCTGCTCCAGAAGCATAGCACAGTCCCAAAGCCAGTTTTCCTGGCTGGAGCAGGACTGCTTGTGAGAGGAAACCTTGAGTGGCATACGCTGCTGCACCGGCTCCAACATCACCTCCCCAGTCCCCTAGCTACACTTTGGAAAAAGGCCCCCAGGGCCACTGGCAGCCAGCAGAACATAGAGCGTCCCTGAAGCTGCTCTAATTGACATTCAGGGACTGGCCCAGGAGTGTAGCAGGTTTGGGGAAGTGAGAGTGGATGTATTGGCATCTTCTATCTACCTTTGCACCCTTTTCCCCCCACTACTGCTGAGCTGCCCCAAGCTTAGATTCCAAGGCCAGAAGGACCATTGTCATCTTCTAGTCTGACCTCCTGTATCGCACAGGCCAGAGACCTGTCCCCAAATAATTCCTGGTGCAGAGCTTATGGAAACACGTCCAATTTTGGTTTTAAAATTGTCAGTGATGGAGAATCCACAATGACCTTTGATAAACTGTTCCAATGGGTAATTACTCTCACTGTTAAAAATGTATGCCTCATTTTCAGTCTGGATTTGTCTAGCTTCAACTTCCAGCCATTGGATCTTTTTCTGCTAGACTGAAGAGCCAATTCTTAAATATTTCCCTCATGTATGTATTCTACACTGTAATCAAGCCACCTCTTAACTCTTCTCCTTCTGACACTAAATAAATGGAGTCTACCACTCTGAGGCAGGTTTTCCAGTCCTTTCATCATTCTCGCGGCTCTTCTCTGAACCCTCCCCTATTTATCAGCATCCTTCTTGAACTGGGAGCACCAGAATTGGACACTGTGTTCTAAGCAGTGGTTACAGCAATGCCAAATACAGAGGCCAAATAACC